ATTACGTTCGTAATGAGATGATAATAAAATTAGTTCACATATGTTATATCTTGTTTTTCACAATTCACTTTTTAAAAATTGGTTTATTTCTTTATAAACACTTTATTACAATTTGAATATAACGTGAAAAACTTGGAACATTAACTGAATAAGTAATTGATATGAATCGTATGTGAACTGTACTGGAGAATGAATAAATCGTTAATGAACATCTTTCTGACCTCGCAGGGTCTATTTATACGTTTGGTATGAAAAACAATATTTGAACAGTGTCAGCAATTGCTTTGTCTGGAGCACAAGTGTTCATCTTGCTGATACTGCACAATAAGCACTTTTAGCAGGAAGCTGTTATCGCTTTGTAATTTAATACGTGTGACACGCTAATTCGCATATAACATATATAATGTGGTCATCATATGATAACGTTTGTTATGGAATATCATATTCATATATTTTACCCGTGAGTTGATCGTTTAAATTTGCGAACCAAATTTTGCCTGAAAACAGAAACTCACAGCAGCAGCATTTACCAAACACAACATTACTGAAAGGGAGATATTGAGGGTGGAAAGTTTTCAAATTGACACCCTGTATAGTTAGAAGAATGTAATTCAATGAGATCGAAAGATTTATGTGTATCATATATATTGATGTATTCAGAACAATAGTCAACAAATTGATAATTATTAAATACAAAAATTGTTTCTCGAGTTACTTTTAGTCTATCATGAGATAGACAAAAACTGATATTTGATTGACTATTAGTTCAGCCTCAATTATTTTTTTAACTGCGGAATGGCAAATACACGTAAACGCAAGAAGCATTTTATTACTTATTTCATCCAGAATTCGTAATTGGTCCTTTGTATTGAATGTTGAGTAAGTGATCTAGATTGATCATCGTTATGTTCTTCTGGGGGATTTACTTGTACATCAGATCAAATATCAATTTTTGGTTTTGGGTTAGTATTTTTTTTTATATTTTCCTCAAAAAGCCATTTTTGTGGAGAACATTTTTAAGAGGTGTAGTTTTGTCTAATGTGTTAAATATTGGGTTTTCAGAAAGTTGTATGAAAAATTGTAATGTTTCTAAAGATTTCACTACTCGGTTCCAGAGCATTAGTATCAATCCTATATAAAGCGCATCTGCATTTGGATTAGATCAACCCTTATTATGTTTTATTTCATAGTCCTCTTATTTTGAGTGCTATCTGATTAATTATGAGCTTTGATCATTAAATACCTACTCTTGTCTGATACAAGCGATCCTTGCGAAAAAACTGCTTTGCTCAAAACTACATTTGCAGCATCAATTGTGTTATCATGAACAAGTCCAGCATTTTGACCATTTGCTGTGATTTACTTTTGTTTTTACATTTTAGTTAATTATTGTTATTTTAATTGTTGATTCTGTCTCCGTATTTTTTCATTGGCTTTTCAAACGAACCAAACTCGGTGAGATTTTGATCCTAACACTGTTTCTATCGTATTTGTAATAAATTTCTATCATATCTCTTTTTTCTTCATTCGTGAAAGCCATTTTTCAACAAAAATTCAATGACTTGTACAATAGCAAAATGTCATTTAGTGAAACAAATTGAAAGTCAAATTCAGAAACATCAAATTCAAAGCCTTTTTTGTCAATATCTTCAATTTTTCGAAAAAGAATAATAACTTATGATACATAATTGAAAAGGTAAAATCTGGTTCTATACAAAACAGAAAGAATTCAATGTAGCGCCCATAATATAAAATAAAGTTGATGATGGTGGTCGGAAGACGAAACGTCAAATAGCAAATCTGAAAACACCATTATGTGGCAGGGAAAAAGTGACAATGTGGAAGTGCAATTCATTTTCGAATCCTTCGAAAAATAAAGCCAAAAAAAAATAAAAACCATTTTCCGAAATTTCTGTTTTTTTCCGGATATCTCCGGATATACTCGGAATTTCAGAACTTTCTCAACGGCACATAGTTAGTCAGGAAAACGCACAACTCTACCCCAATATAACCATCTTCGTATCTCTCATAGTTTCCGAGATTCCAATGATGTACAGATGTACAGGGTGTTGCATTTTCCGTGAGAGTAAATAAATTTAACGTTTCGAATGAAACAACCATTTTATCTTTATGTCAATAAAATGGTCCTATGGTATCCTTCTCAGAAATTAGTTTGTTTTCAGCCACATCATGCTTTTGCCAAGTTATTGTTTATTTTTTGTACAATTCTTAATATGCATGCCTGAGTTGTTGTTGGTTTCTAAAGCAGTATTTACACCTAACTGTGCAGAAAATTTGAAATATTCGCAGTGGGTTTTATCCTCATATCTTCGAATTGGGTAGACTTCCTTCAAAGCTTGGCTGTATAACTTTTTTGATAATAGAGAATGTATTAGACTGCTATCAGAATCATTGTTGACAGCTATTTGTTTTATTATGTTCAGTTCTTAATTGGAATTCGCATCTGACAAAGGAACCTTTATCAATCTGTGGATCATACTGTTGAATGCTGCTACTTTGAACTGATACTTGTAGGTGGACGAATTATGAATGATAATATCTGTATGTGCTGGTTTACGATGAATTGAAAAATCATGTTTATTGTTAACTTTCGTTATTGTCAGGCCAAAAAAATTTATAGAGTCTTCCTTTTCCATCTCCATGGTGAATGTCAATTGTCTGTTCGTTCCTGTGAAACATACCAGGATATCATCTACATATCTATACCAATACACGAAACTTGTTACCACAGGGCTACTGTGTATTTTTCTCTCCAAATCGTTTATGAAAATTTCTGCCAGAATGGGACTAAGTGAATTTTCCATTATGAGACCTTTGCAGGATGAGTAAAAATATGATTGAATTGGAAGTAACTCTGTGACAAACAAACCGTAAGCAAGTCTCAATATTTTCTGTTTCACTAAAGGATCAATAGACCTTTCGTCCAATAGATTCTCTACAAGAGTAATCGTTTCATTGAGAGGAATACTGGGAAACAGATACATCGAATGAAATCAATTTGGCATTATCCAGAAGCGTATTATCTTGAATTTCATTGATAAAATGGTATGAATTCTTCAAACTGAATGTTGATTTGAAATTGGTGTGATTTTGAATAATTGTGATGAGTTTTTTGAATATTTTAACTGAAGGAACTGTGACAAAAGAAACTACCGGTCTAATCGGGTAGTTATCTTTGTGTAATGTAATCAACGAATACAGTTTAGGATACTATGAGTTCATGACTAACGATCTCAGTATTTTTTGTTTCATTCATGACGGGTGNTCTCCCACTCATGTAGTCTTATTGAATTCTTCAGGATAATTATAGTTGTTGTACTTTCCAGGATGCTAAATTAATTTTAACAATATACAACAACTGAATATGATCCGGTAATTTATCAAGTATCATGTTACTGACATTCTTCATAGTATTTTTTTGGGAAATTGTAAATTGCTCTTATTCCTAATGATTTTTGTCTTGATACAAAACAAAAGTGTAATTAATTCTATTTTTTTCACTTATATAATATACAAAAAAAACACTTATATTTTATAATGATGTTCAAGTGAGTCAAAATAGTTACAGACTAAGTGACATCCTTGATTCCTCTATAAATAATGTAATTCCTCATTCCTTCGATATGTTATCGAGAGATATGTGAAAAATTCACTCACTCACCCAATGAGGGTTTGACACCCTTAAATTTGCATTGCATTGCATAAATAATAAAGAACAACACTGTCGCATGGAACTAGGTATTTTTATAACATACAAGAGGTTTTATCAGTAATGTTTGATGAGAAATAATTGACTTTTTTGTATGAAAAATGGATATAATTGCAAGATCTCATTAAATGGCCTCTCAGGTCCCCTGACATTCTCTTGTTTTCGTCTGTGGGGATATTTGGAAACCAAAATATATGCTGATGGAAACTGTTCTGTTCATTATTTACGTCAAGAAAACGATTAACATGTGTTTTCATGCTTGAATATTATATCCTTACGGAAAAATACCACAATAGGGTTTTATAATGGAAAAAATTGCATTTCCCAAAAAAGTACAAAATAATAATGTTACAAATAGTGAACAGTTTTTCCCGATCTTGATAACTTGTTTTGTCTCTTTCTCGTATTATATTCTCAGTAGAACAATTTGTTTCCTTACACCACCTAAGATATTCGAGCAGAAAAAGTGCCATTTCTCCATCTAATAATTCCTTAAGAAGACTGCGTCCGGTTCCGATGTTCAATATTCCTCCATCATTTAATATTTCGAGATCACCTACTGTAAACATGTTTCGACTTGCAAATCAACTCAACACACTGATGGAACTAGAATGGACATCCCATCTCAGATTTCTGTCTATTCCTGTATTTTACTAAGATGTTTTCTGCAACTTCATAGTTTGCTCCGAATCTTAATGGTCCAGTATTAGATATGTTAGCTGAATACGAAGTAAATGATAGGTATTTAGCATTCAATATTACTGGAGTTTTTTCCTAACATCAAACCGTTAGAAGGTGATCACTTGGTGATCGAAACACATGTCGAAGTGTTTAAATAACGGTTTGGTGTTGAATGAAAACTCCATTAATATTCATCGCTACACCAAAGGTTCCAAACAGTGCATCACAAGTATTTAGTATTTTCCAAATTGAGAGTGAGCTTCTCATATCTGAACCATCCATATTATCCATAAAAATCGTTCTCTACCATCATTTTTTAGTTGATCTAAGTGTGTGACTGGTAGAATATGGCGATGTCAATAGCGAAGCTTTTCGCAAGTTGATCCAATCTATAGACTCTCTGTAATCCGCCGTTATTGAACGAGTTTGGTTCGGCAATCCGCCGCCGCAATCACCTCCCTCTCTTTTTTTCTGGAATGTTCTATACATCGCCGTTTAGTCTTAAACAACTATGTACTCGTTAGTCCGCCACTAGGAACAAAAACGAACGGTCGCGCGTCTTTCTTTCTTGTTGTTAATTAGTAAAAAAATGGCTTCTTCACCACAATCGCGACCTACTAAACGAAAGCACGAAACTTTAACTTTAATGGAAAAGATGGAAATCTTAAAGAAAGTGGATAGTGGTGTGCCTTTTACAGACATAGCAAATCAATTCCATATTGAGCGGTCAACAGTTTACGATATTCGGAAGAACAGAAATAAGATCGAAAACTATGTCACTAACGCCGAGTCTGGAATAGGAAAACGTCAAACGATGAGAACTGGTGAATATCCACAGTTGGAAGAAACACTTTTTTCGTGGTTTTTATAAGAGCGTCAACGTCACACACCGATAACTGCTGAAGTGTTGCGACAGAAAGCACTCCAGTTCTATGAGAAAATTCATAAGAAAAATGATTTCAGAGCTAGTGAAAGATGGCTTACAAAATTTAAAGCAAGATTTGGAATCAGGTTGCTGTCCATAACTGGAGAGAAATTGTCCAGCAATGAGGCTGCTGTATCACCATTTCTTGAAGTTTTTATGAAAAAAATTGAAGAGCTTAATTTGACGGCGGATCAAGTTTACAATGCCGATGAAACTGGCTTATTTTGGCGACTTTTACCACATAAAACGTATGTTCACAGAAGTGAAACGTCTGCTCCAGGCAGAAAAGTATCCAAAGAACGGATAACCGTTATGACTTGTTCAAATGCAAGTGGCAGTCATAAGTTGAAACTCTTAGTTATTGGAAAATCTAAAAACCCTAGACCATTCAAGAACACAAATCTCCCGGTTGTTTATATGAGTCAAAATAAAGCCTGGGTAACCAAAGATTTGTTTTACGACTGGTTTCATCATGTTTTCGTGCCTGAGGTGAAAACATTTTTAAAGTCGCTAAATCTACCACAGAAAGCTCTTCTTGTGCTTGATAATGCTCCTGGACACGGCCCAAATGACGAATTATCATCTAGTGACGGCTGTATAGAAACACTTTTCCTTCCTGCTAATTGTACGCCTCTGCTCCAACCAATGGATCAAAATGTGATACAAATGATGATAAACAATTACAAAAAGAAGATTTTACTTAACGCCATAAGTCGAGAGGCAAACATTTCTGAAACTCTGAAAATGTTGAATATCAAAGATGCAGTTTTTACAGTTTCTAATGCCTGGGACGAAGATGGAGAAAGAGCAATCAAATCATCATGGAAAAAATTGTGGCCTAGAATTTGTGAAGATGATGACACTTGGGAAGAAGAGGATCCAATTCCATTACAGGAATTGGATCAAATTCAGTTTGCAACAAATCCTAATGCAGGTTTAACACGTGAAGATGTTGAAAATTGGTTTGAAGAAAACCCAGAAATATATGAGACACATTTAACCGAAGATGAGCTTGTAAATGAATCATTTGACTCATCCTTGGATAGCTCATCAGACGAAATGTCGGTACATGTAGATTGCACTGTCAAATCAGAGGACGCTTTGGAAAGTGTTGACACTTGCATTAAATGGGCTCAGGAAAATGGAATGACATACGATATGGTTAGAAATTTACGTAAAATGCGTTATCAAGTAATTACGAAGATTTATTATGGCAAAAAACAGGCCAAAATAGACCAGTATTTTTCAAATCCTGAGTAATCAGTTACGTGTCAGTTCATTTTCTAATTTCAATTCATTTTTGTAAACTTACATACTAATACAAAATATATCTGCATATGAGTGAATATCTACATATGTTTTTTATTTTTTTGTTCCTAGACACTATAATCCGCCGTTTCCAGTAATCCGCCGATGGTCCGGATTTTATGGTGGCGGATTAGCGAGAGAGTACTGCCTGTATTTGCCTGTATTTGTACTGCATCAGGTACTATTCTTTGTGTTAGATCTTCTCTAGGAATGTGTATGGTTTTGTTTAATATATTGAATGTGAGGTCTTGTTGTGTATTGATTTGTACTTGTTCCTCGATAAGTGATTTATGACTGGTGAATTTATGGATGTTCAAGTTTTCCCAAATGTCCATGCGGTTTCCCTTATTGACTTGTTTTATGAGTTTTATGTTCTATGGTGGGGAGAAATTATGTTTGTTTTGTATGGCGTGTGTTGCGAGGTTTGATTTATATACTATTGGATTTATGTATGCCTTTTTGTACTCATTGTACCTTTGGATCAGTTTTTTCTTGGTTTGGCCGATATAGAATTTGTTGCAGTCCGAGCATTGTATACTGTATATCCCGTTTTAATCTTCCTCTTTGAAGATGATCACTTGGTGATCGAAACACGTGTCGAGGTAGTAAAAATAACGATTTGGTGCTGTTGCTTGTAATAGTTTTTTCCCTCGAAACCAAATTTGATATGTAGATTCTATTTATAATTGAAACATACTCTCTGTGTTTCAAAATTCAAATGCATACGAATCTTATTCACTGGTATCTCTTGTTCGCATTGTTCACCAGCGCTATTGGAATCACTACACAGGAAAAAGTCTGCGTTGGTATCACACTCGTTATCACTATTAGTACTTGTCCAAGGACGACACATTTTAAACAAATAACAAAAATTTTAAGTAATATAACTATAATTTTAAGTAATTATAACTTCACCAATATCGAATTTCAATACTCAAATCGCGATCAATTCCTGAACTGAACATTGACAACACGACTCTTCTAACCATCCTCACATTCTATTGGTCAACGTGACATGATTTCAAATTTGATTTTATTACTCTTCAGTCTCTTCAGTCAATCATAAAACTCGATTTTCGGACAAATCTGATATTGGTTGTGATAGTTTGTTTTCCTCGAAACTGAACTTGAGATGTAGATTCTTATATATATTGAAAAGTACCCTATGTGTTTCAATATTCAATTGCATCCGGATGTTATTTACAGGTATCTCTTTTTCGCATTGTTCATCATCGCTATTGGAATTACTACTGGAAGAAGTCTGCATTGTAATCACACTCGTTATTACCATTAGTACTTGTCCAAGGACACCGCATTTTGAACAGATAACAAAAATTTTAATTAATTATAACTTCACCAATATCGAATTTTCACACTCAAATCGCGATTAGTTCCTGGACTGAACACGATGGCGATAACATCCCCGCATTCCCCGATTTCTGTTCGTCACCGTAACATGACTTCAAATTCAATTTTATTACTCTTTAGCCAATCATAAAACTCGGTTAGTAAAAATTATCCAATACGAATCGTCAATTCTACAGACTAGTTCGCAGCCGGTTCGTTTCTATGTATTGGTTTTTTTGGCCTTTGAGTGACGCCAACAACAAGTGTACACAATATTGTTTACTTCGACTATATCAAGTGTATTTCAAATACCTATTTGAAAAAAGGTCGTACTTAAGAAAAACAATGAAGAGATCCAATTAACTTTAGCATTCCACCCATAGAGGTGACAAGCACATGTCAAGAGATACTGTTCGTCAATGCCAAGTTATCACTTCAATCTCATTGTTTACACTTGGGAATAAACTAATATTAAGTGAAATATTATTGTTTACATTATGGTCCATAAATTGAAGCTCTGAACAAAATTCACGCGACAGATTTCGACAGACCGTCTATCAACATTTCTCAAGTCGAGAGTTTTTGTCAAAACAGAAACGAATCGATAAAAATACCAGGGTTTCTATGCATTTGTTATCGAATGTGATATCTGTACATTTCATCCTTTTGACTGTGTCGAAGAAAATATAGCTTTTAGCAACTGAAGCGTTGTTCGAAAGTGTATTTTTTGAGTCTTGAAAACGGAAAAGGATTATTTTCCGAAAGATGGTAAGAAAAGCATTGACTTATTCACAAAAATATCTTTCAAGGAATAGTTGAAATCACTGTATAGAAATTAACTTTTCATTGTTCAACGAATTTGACCAAATAAAAGTATCATTTCCCCATATTCATATCGGTTCAAAACATTGGGGAATTTATCACTTCTACAATTCCTGTCGATGTACAAAGCATACTTGTGTATATCAGATGTTGTTTTATGTACATGAAGAAATAATGTATGTTAGATAATGACTATAATGCAAATGGTAAATTAACCTGAGGCGAGGCATAATTTACAATAACTCTCAGGTTAGCTGCATTCGCATATATTACGTTGGATCCAAGTTTAATTATATGGGTAGGTCGTGGTTGAGATTATGGTTCAAATTGAAATAGTTTGCAATTATCATTTTTCCTCGGGATTTCGTTTTGTTCTGTTTTGCCAGGTGAGAAAATTGTACACGATTAACTCGTTCGTGAACGAAATGGCCGAAGAAATGTAATTATTCGGGAATGAAGAAGATTCCTTTGGATTAACGAGATGTGATTAGTAATCGCCTTATGATTTGTTCATTACTCCTAGCATTCTGTAAAAAGATCATAGAGAGAATATCTGAGTTTGAATTACTGTGAACACTTCATGTGCCAATCATGGTATTAATCTTCTTAATTTTCTAAAAGACGGAATCTTTTTGAATAAACTATCTAAACTAAAAGTTCTGAAATGCCATCATTGAAATATACCAAATCAACAAATGAATGAGTAACTATCAACTGATAATCTGACGAAAAAATATTGATTGATGGAGTGATGAAGTTTTTGGACATCTTATTCTTGAAAAAAAAAGTGATTCATGGTAAACCTCGTTTAAAAAATGTCACACACCCAGAGTTTCACTTTTGTGATAATTTTGAATATTTCTACATTGTCACGAGCTTTATCAAAGATGAATCCTTGGAACCAATAACAATTAAATTTATCGAAAAACGATTCAGTGAAAATGTTTGCATAAATTCAAAATTCTATTGAATATCGTAGCAATAAACGAATGAAAATGCAACTAAATTCTACAAATAAGCTTCGAATTGAGAGAAATTATGCCGGATTTTATTGTAAGGTTTACACTGGATAGTTGCAAAACCGCAACGCCTGTTTTGCTCTACAATATAGTTCATTAGCGTTTTCATACCGACTACCTTATTTGTGCTGTATATAATGACCATTTGAATCATATTAAATGCAGGAATTACTTTCGTGAAAAATCCTGCACTGACACCTGCTTGATATAATCCAACGCCCTTTGTGGTACAAGCCCGGGGAGTAGTTATTTTCTAATAGGTGTCAGTCCATAAACCTACTGTGTAGGTAAGGTAAAGACTGGCCTGCATGAATTATTCCTTTATTCTTCAAGTATGCCCACCACACATATCAAGTTTTTTGTGAAAGGAACAAGCCTTGACCTGTCGACAGTTGCAAAATTTCTTCGGAGCGAGGGTGTCATCTCTTTATTTTGAAACAGAAATTAGAGTCGAGTGATACCTACAGAAGATTCTGTAGAATCAAAGTACAAAAGCTCAGTACAACACTGCTCTGACTAGACGTGAACATGAACATTACAATAAGGACCCTTTTGGGTTCAACATATTAATATTTTGTTTTAAAATTGTAAAATTATTTCCAGCGTGCTCAATGATGAGTACGAGGAGGAAAAGTAAGTAGAAATTTGACAAAGACATAAGGTCATCATTAATTATAGAATATATTTAGTTTGACAAATAACATATGTAGTAAAGAAAATACGTAAAATTCTCCAAGGTGAGCAAAGCATGTTGATTGAAAATTATAATGTTGACCAAAAGCTGATTTGTCAGGTTTATTCCAGTGTTCGTTTATTCAAACTTTCAAACCTCACGAATTAAATTTATGATTAGATTAGAGTTAAAGCAATTGTTGTTCAGCCATCTGTTTCAGCTGTGTTGTACTAGTCATTGCGCACGTTGGAAATAATTTTGTAATTTTTAATCAAAATGTTAAAGGGTATTTACATCCCCCAAAGAGGTATTTATTGTATCATGTTCACGTCTATTCAGAGTAGTGTTGTACTAAGGTTTTGTACTTTGATTCTACAGGATCTTCTTATATATACTTGACGAGTGGGTAATTCAAAAAAGAATTCAAAGTTCAACTTCAAACAAATTTCACGACTATTAATTACTTGCAGGTATCGCACTGATGGTGGCGTAAAAGCCGAAAGCGCTTTGCAATGTACAAATAAATCATTTACACAAAATACGACTCAATTCCTGATTTTACTTGTACGACTTACGCCCGTCTGAAAAGGGCTAGTCATACAATTTTCTTGAAGTATTATATTCACTATGAATTGCAATATGTCGTTATTTTGCTACCTCTATAGTTCCTCTGTTATCGAATTTTCACCTCACATGTTTCTATTTTGGAGCGATCCAGTTTTGCGAAATTTTTTCATCAATTTGAGAACAATTTTCCCAAAAAGATAATATGATACGATTGTTTTTGTTTTAAAAATAAAGTTCCTCTCATTTTCACCCTATCCGAAATTGAGTACCCCATAACTGATAAATAAATAATATTTTCAAACACTTTTTCGCTTTTCACACTGATTCGAATCTTTTGGCAAGCAAAAACTCAACACTCGCTGAACGGCACAATGTTATACATTTTTAAAAATATTTTATCGTCCGACGGACACCAGCAAAAATTA